AAATTGATATCACACATAAACTTAAGAAAGATAAATTAATCCGTTTTAATCTCAGACTCCTCCTCAGTAAAGTAGAGAATAATCATGATATTTTTGCAGGATTTCCCTGGGTTTTTGATATAACATAGGTAAAACACCTAATCCAGCATCTGGACATAGATGATCAATCGCTGTAACTCATCTGCCAACCAAGTCTGCAATATTTGCTTAATAAACCATTTTAAGAGAGATTTTTGCTATACGGTGCATGCACTCACTAGAGAGAGAGGCAGAGAAAGCAATCACCACACCCTCACCCAGAGGAGATGGCCACACCACCAGCAGCCCTTCTCTTCCATTGTCCTCCATGGAAGCACACACGCAATCCTGGTGTAAGTTTTAAACTACTGGGACTGGGACTTGAACTGTAGTCGGCCATGTGGCAGTCCAGAGACATAACCCTTACGCACCCTTACGCCAGCTCCTGGTCCCAGTAAACAGTTTTTTAAAAGGGCTGCTCAAAGTGATGTTCTGGGTAAGTAAAGAAGCAGACAGTGTGCAGTTAAGAACACAGATAGGGATCCAGATGGTAATGTAGCAGTAAAACAGGGTGCTCTGAGCAGCAACATCACCTGAGAAGGTTCCTAGTTCAAGTCCAGACACCTCTCTGAGTACACCAAGTCCACACTTGCCTGTGATCCGGGGCTGGCTGAAGCTGGGGTTGAATCATGGCATCAAGACCTCATTGGGGTGCTGTCTGTCTGTCTGCCTCTCTCTGTTGCCTCACTTATAGAGAAAATGAATAAATAAACTTAAAAAAACCATAGGTCACTAGGTTCTAATTCCAACTCTGCTATTTAGTACTTATGATCTTGACCAAGTTGTATAACCTCTGTCTCTCAAGTTCCTTATCTGCAAAATAGGAATGATATTGTGCCTACTTGTTGGAATTATTGTAAAAACTAAATGAATATATGAAATGAACTTCATGTAGCATCCAATAAACAGTGAATGCTGCATAAGTATTTTTTAATCATTATTCCCTGAAAGTCCAAAACTCAACTTTGGAATTTACACACACACACACACACACACACACACACACGAGGATTTACTCATTTACACACGAACACATCTACCTTGGTTGGTTAAGGCTTGCTCAGTATTAAATTTATCTGAGAAATTAGTCATGAACTTTATGCAATGTGGACTCTAATAAGATAAATTATTCTTCCTTATTATAGGAATGCTGAATATTATATTGAAGACACACCAATTTATGGTAATTTAGATGACATAATCCCAGGTAAGGTTTATTTTTTATAAATTAATCAATAAATTAAATAAATCCCACTTAATTCCTCAAAGAATTTAAGGTAGTTGCTTTGAGTTGTTTTGTTGTTGTTATTGCTACTGTTTTGGCCATAGGGCACTTGTGCTCCCCTGAGAAAGACAGAGAGAGAGAAAGTGAGAAATCACCCCCCAGGGGGATGGCCACACTGCAGTCCCTTCTCCATTCTCCTCTTAGGAATTTGAGCATGCACACTCACATGCCTGGCATGATTTTCAAGCTGCTGGGTCCAGGACTCAAACCACAGTCAGCCATGTGGGAGTCTAGCACCTTAATTACCGTGCCACCTCTGGGTCCCAAGGTATCTTTTTTTTAAGATCACAATCACATTTAAGTATCCCAACAATACCCATAAATTCCCATATATTTACACCTTATTTAGGCCATGTTTCCAAAGCTCTATATTATAAATTATATTATGATATTCAGTGTAAAACAACATCCTGTTTTTCTATATCCTTTTCATTTCACCCTGGTAGTAATGAGAATACAGGAAGACTACGTTACCGTCATTTTGACGCACACTGAATTCTATGAAATAAAGCTATTTCTGGAACATAAAATGGTCCTCAGAAATAGCGCTTTGTGCTCTGTATACAAAAGCAAATCTACAGTGATGATCTGGAACAATGAACTCTTTCTCTCATTTCCTGTGTTTTAACTAGTTCTTTTTAAGTAGAGAGCCTGGGCTGCATGGATGGCAGGTAGGAGGAAAGCAGCACTGACTCACCTCTGTGTGGCTGATACATTTGTTTTTGTTCTTTTTTTTTTTTAAA